TGATTATTTGACTGAGATGACGTCTTCTTCTGGGAAGATTTAGGTCAAAAAGAGTGAATACTCTTGTCAAAGTAATGTTACAAATTGCTATGTTGCTCGAGTTGCTCTTCACGGTAAGTGTTTGTGTAACTCATTAAGTAGTTCTTTAGTTGCTTGCATCTACAATGTCATTTGTCTGCATATTCATGCATGCACTCTAATTTTTCATTATCTCATTTTTTTATTGGATGAACTTTAAAAGAAAAAAAGGAAAAGGTCTTTATATAACAATTTTAAGGTGATTGGACATGGTATTTTATGATAAAGTAATAGTATTATTAATGAACGGTGAATAAAATTTCCGATTAACTTTGTTCAAAACTTGCTTAGATTACTTGGTATAAGTTATTTCATATATCTTTTGCACTGCATACATTAAGCCATTGTGAATGAGTCTTCTCACATGTGTGAGATTTGGAATGGCGATCATCCGTATATTGTGATAATTTTGAATATAGATTGAACTTTAATAGGCTGAACTAACCTCTTGTATATTCCCAAAAAAGAAATTAGTATTGAGCTTCAGAGGAATTAATTAAAAAATTGTGTTATATCTTATACATTTATTCGTAGCTTTTATGACTTGAATAATTAAGCCTGTTAAGTATCTTAAAACTTGTTGTACTATAGTGATCTGATTTGGGAGTTATCGACTTAAAGTTCATTATAGGGTCTATATTTATGACTTGAATAAAAAATATGTATATATGTGTGCTTACAGATGAGAGGTGAAAGAAAAAGTTATACAATGAGAAGTTAAGTATGTGCTTTTTATTTAAAATGTCATAGTAGCATCAGATTTGACTTTTATAATATGAGGAATATATATTCATTCATTAATGATTTCTTTACATGTCTTTTCTTACTAATTTAAGGTTTAAGTATTGCTTAGAAAAGATTAGTAGCAATTTTTTTTTTGCATGGGTTGCTTATACGATTTACCCCATATAGATTTATAATGAGTTACTTGGAAAAAATTTGCTATTTATGAATTATACTTGTATAAATAAGCAAATAATTATTCATGTGATCATGTGATTTGAGCTTTTAATATATGATGTTATGTGGACAAATTTATAAAAAAGAGTTATCTCTAAAAGAATTTTATTTTTTATTTCTTATTTCTTATTTCTTATTTACACATTACATGTTCTGCATAGTTTGACCATGTGTATAGTTTTTCACTCATTCTTCTTTGTGTTATTCATTATTCTCTTACTTGCTTTTCTTTATTATTCATGACAAAAAGGAGATGTATTAGTATTTTTTTTTTCAAGGAATTGAGTAGTATATGAGTTAGAGAGGCGAAGTTGATTGAATAATAGTGTTTATTTTTTATGTTTGAGTTTGGGGATTAATATTTTGCTGATCATATTAATGATTTGACTAGCATGATTTGATATTTTGTCTTTTTTTTTATGACGGGGAACCCGCAGTCGCTACCTTTCGGGTGCACACTGAGTAAATATTGATATTGCGGCTACCCTTCGAGTGCGCACCGGGTAAATATTGATATTAAATGTTGTGTTGCAAATTTAGCTATTATGGTATCACATCTCAACTTATCATGTCCCTATTTGTTTGGTGGGGATTAAAATTAAATTTTTAGTAGATCTTGATAAGAAGTTTGGTGGGAGATTAACGTCAGATTTTTAGTATATTTTTTATACAAGTTTGGTGGGGATAAAAATTGGATGTTTGGTGGAGATCGAAATCGGATTTTTACCACTCTGAAGTGTTCTTCGAGGGGTTTCCTTCATAAACATATATGAAGCTGACTTGACTTTAATGTTTTGACATATTTGTATGATTAATTGTTAGGGTTTAATATTGATTAAACTTAATCATCTAGAGACAATAATTAATAACTTGTTTCTTATTATTAGTTGTTATTTTTAATTATGCATTATACACGTGTTCACCCCTCTAGGTGTTTGATGGGCTTAAATATCATTATCACAATTGGTATCAAAATGGTACCCCATGCTTTTCAGATTGCAATGTTAATTTTAATATAATATATCACTCTCTTGACTTGGAATTACATAGCTATTAAGTTGTATATGATTTATGATTTAATTGATTAAGAATCCCAAGTTGCTATTGTTACGACCCAATTTTTTCTAATCAAAAATAAAATGTTGAATTGTTAATGTCAAAGTCAAAAGGGAATCAAATGAAATAAATTATTTTAATCAGGACTCAATTTATTATGGCAAATATTTTGAAGGTTTAAGTTGGACAAAATTTAATTTTGGGATCTACTTTTACATTTTTAAAAGTTTAGGATTTAATGCCTTATGATATGAAAGCTGAGGGACCTTTTTGCAAATATGAGTTAGTGATCCACTTACTTGGCAATAAACCCATTTCTTTGTTGAACAATTCTACAAGTATATCACTTTTCACACCTTTTTTCACAGCACACAAACATGCAAGTGGATGGGGTCCACGATTAAAACCTTTGTGAGGAAGTGTGAAAATTGCTGTACAAATGACATTTTTTTTCTTTATTACCATTTGATATATTTTCTCTCACAACCTAGCTGAGGAATTGGGCAGCAAAGAAAATTCGAGAAAAAAAATGATGAGAAAAGGAAAACGAAAAGAAAAGAAAAGGAGGGAAGGAAACTTAAGTTATGTTCTTCAATTTCTTCATGTCTTAGAGAGGTAAGGAAGTAAATTGTTTATGGTATAATTTTTTTTTAAATTTTCTAGGGTTCTAAATTGTTAATTTAGTTTCTTGATTATGTGAAAAGGATACTTTTTAGCTCAAGTTCTTTAATTGACTATTTGCCACTTGTTTTAAGGCATGTAACTCTATTCTTAGTAAACCTTAGAATTTATAATTTAGTTTTTGAATAACTATAAATTGGGGAAATGATTATTTGATGGAAATAATTACTTCGAAAGATGATGTTGGGGAATAAGATGAAAAATTAAATTAGTTGAATTGTAGGTGGCTAGTTTCATTGGATTGATAGGAATGATTATTTTTATGTTGGGATGATAAATTAAAGTTAAGTAAAAGGACTAGGAAGTGGAGTTAGCTCAAATTGATTAAAGGAAATTGGGAAAATTTCTTCAATTACCAAGAAATTGAGTTTTCATATTCTTGGTATAGTAGTTGTTAAATTCATTATTTTGTATCAAATTTCAGGTAGTGACGTGGAAGTTTGAGAATGCTCATCAATTCAATCAGATTGGTATCCATAGATTTGTGAGTGGAGAGCCTACTTTTCCAAAAAAGAAGATTTCCTTTTTATTTTATTTTATAGAAGCATGTTAATTATGTGAAATGTCTTATTTTTGAGAAATTAGTAAATGAGCATGATTATTATGAAATCATCAGAAAATAAGTGATGTAATTACTTTAATCTTGTACAATGAGGGGCTACGGTTGTGATAAGGATGATTATGTTGTTTCCATCTTATTCACTGAGGGGACACGACCATGTATAGAGTGTTGATCATATAGTTTATGTGCATATGACTTTATAGCCTTCAGATCATCAGTAGATAAATACATGGGGCATATTTTGATGCGGATTTTATGTATATAGTGGATTATTAGCCTTCATCTTACATTTCACCATTTACAGCTTAGCTTATGGAATTCAGATTATAGAATTCAATTTGTTCAGCTTTTAGAGTAAAGCTTCTAACTTATAGTATTGAGCAACAACAATATTTCACAAATTTTCATGAATATCAGATTATTTATATTCGTTATATTTTACAATTAGTGAACTAGAATGAAGAATAAAGAATTTTATAATCCAATTATGTCAATTTTAAAAGTGTTACTAGATTTCTGAATTTCTCAAAGTTTTAATAGAGCAAGATTTATGCATATATGAAAAAGTATAATTATTTTCAATTTATCCACTCACTGAGTTACAAAATCATATTTTGTTACCATTTTCTTAACAGATAGCAGCTATGTTGAGCAGCCTTAGAGCCTGTCAATCCACCAAGAGTGCCACACACACATACATTGTCATTAGATGTATGACTCATTTCGTCAATTTATATGGTTCAAATTTCTTTTAGGATACACGTATATTTTGATAGAAATGTTAATTGGTAATTTATAGATCCATATAATGGGCTCACTGCATATTTAGTATTCTCATTGCTTTTGGGTCTTTTGTTTATAAAGCATGATAAATGTCTTGAATAGTTTGTAATTTGAAGGACTAGCGTGTTATATTTTAAATTATATGTACAGTTTTGATAAAGTTGATATTTGTTCAGGTGATTTAGTCCATATTTTAAAGGAAATTCTGTCAAAAATTTTATACAAAAATATGTCATAGTCAAAGTAGGTCAAGTTTGTTTTGGTGGTGGGTCTAGCACTTAGCTGGTATCTACCAACGACGCAATGCATATGTCGGATCTATTAGGGTGATTCGGGACGAATCATGTCAGCTATTATACAATAGGCAATTTTACTAGTTTTTCTCGAGTTGGTAAACAGCTTGACTGCACTATCAATTTTACTATAATATGTCACTCCTTATCTTCGAATAATAAAACTAGCAACTTGCATATGATGGCTTTTTAGTTGATTAAGAATCCCAAGTTGCTATTATACAATAGGTAAAGTTACTGTTTTTCTCGAGTTGGTAAATAACTTGACTGCAGTAATTAATTTTAATATGATATATCCCTGTGCCGACTTCGAATTATGGAACTTGCATGTGATGGCTTATTTAATGTATTAAGAATTCCAAGTTGCTATTATACAATAGGGAAAGTTACTGCTTTTCTCGAGTTGGTAAATAACTTGACTGCAATAATTAATTTTAATATGATATGTCCCTGTGCCGACTTCGAATTATGGAACTTGCATGTGATGGCTTATTTAATGGATTAAGAATTCCAAGTTGCTATTATACAATAGGTTATTTATTAGTTTTTCTTACTGAGTCTTCATTTGGCCTCTAAACGCTGTTCATCGAAAATCTTGAGTTTGTGTGCCTGGAAAAGTGTTGGATATGGCTTATGCTGCTCTACTTTCTCTAACTCAAACACTAGAACAGATCCTGGGTTCTCGCTCTGAAGAGAAACATATCAAATCTCTCCATGAAAAGCTTAGCTTCTTGCTATCATTTTTGGAAGATTTTTCACAAAAAAATACTGAAACTATTGCAAGTTTGGAAGTAAGAATCAGAGATGCAACATATGAAGCCGAAGATATAATTGAATTGCATATGTCAAAACAGATTCTATCAGAATCTGCAAGTCAAGGAGTTATCAGCTGTTTTGGGAAAATAATTGCTGCACTCCAAATTATGATGCCCTTGTTCCATAATTCTGAAAAATATCGCTTACAGAAAGTAATAAAGGAGATTGATTCCAGTTTGGTAGACGTGGAGAAGATGAGGGACATGAACGACATAGAAGGTTCATCAAAGTCCAGTTCCAGTAACAAGAGTACTTTAGTGGGATTTGATAATGACTCGATGCAAATTACGGATCCACTCAGTGAACCACCTCCTAAATTCAAAAGCACCTCAATTGATGGAATTGAAGACATTGGTAAGACTAGACTGACCAAACTGCAAAGATCAAATCATTAATCACTAAAGTACATATTTTTGTCCTAATATTTTTGTTTAAATCCATCACATTTGCACTTTATGACTACCAGTTTACTGTTATTATTTATGTTATTTATGTATAATCTAGCTTGAATTACTTTTATTTATATCTCCATACTGGTCTATCTGCCTTGTTTATTCTTAAAGGTTGAGATAATGAAGACAGAGATTTGTATGTCTCAAAACTCCAAAAGACATCAAAATGCAAATTAAAGGTTGGATGGTCAACTTGAAAGAAGAAAGTTTAGATTGTCCGTCTCATTTTAAATCTTGAGAAAAAGGATGAAGGAAGTTGAATGGCAATTTAAAGTTGGATATAAGTTAGTTAAAATGTTATGTAGAAGAAATATTAATTATCTTGATCTTTTGAAAAGAATATGGCAAATAATTGAAGTGACCAATATTTTTTAAGGTCATTCAGTCAAAATAATTTCTCAATCTTTTCAATCTCAATTCTATTTCAGAAGTGATGGTGAAGACTAATGATCATAATGATTTACAAGATCTACCGCCAGAGAACTCGTTGCGTGCTACTTCATCAAAATCTACTTCCACTAAAAAGAATACTATGGTGGGATTTGAAGATGACTTGCACCAAATTAAGGAAGAACTGGTCGGGCAATCCTCTAGGTTGAAAATCATTTCAATCGTCGGAATGGGAGGCATTGGCAAGACAACACTTGCCAGTAATATTTACAATGATTCATTTATTAAGGAGCACTTCTACATTCGGGCCTGGACAACTCTATCTCAGGAATATCGTGTGCAAGAACTGCTAGTACACCTTCTAAAATCCATGGAAGAAATCACTGATAAAATGAATCAAAAGGAAACAGATGAATTGAAAACACAAGTATATCAACGTTTGAAGGGCAATAGATATCTCATTGTTATGGATGATGTGTGGGATGCCAAAGTCTTAGATGAATTAAGAAGGATATTCCCGGATGACTGTAATGGAAGTAGGATAATTTTGACATCTCGACAATCCAGTGTCGCTGTTAATGCCAACTCTTCTGCCTGTACTCACCATCTGAGTTTTCTAAGTCGCAAACAAAGCTTGAGTCTTCTGTGCCAGAAGGCCTTTAGGAATGAACGCTGTCCCCCTGAACTCGAGGAAATTGGAAGGAAAATAGCAGAAAAATGCAAAGGACTTCCACTTGCACTTGTAGTAATTGGTGGTGTCCTCTACAAAGCGGAGAAGACACGAGCCAATTGGGAGTATGTTGCAGAAAATGTGAAATCTGCAGTAACTGGAAATGATGATGATTTCATGGAAATACTGTCTTGGAGTTACAACCACCTGCCCCATCGTCTTAGAGCATGCTTCCTTTATATGGGAGTTTTTCCTGAAGATTATGTGATCCATGTCTCCCATCTTATCAGGCTATGGGTTGCTGAGGGATTTTTAAAGCCAAATACGCATAAAAGTTTGGAAGAAGTGGCAAAGGATTATTTGGAAGAGCTTATTGATAGAAATCTAATTATGGTTCGTGACCGGACTTACACTGAGGAAATCAAAACCTGCAGCATCCATGACATCATGAGAGAACTTTGCATGAGGAAAGCTCAGGAGGAGAAATTTCTTTATGTCGCCAATCAAGAATTTGATATTTCTTCGGAAGTCATGAAAAATCAGCGTCACATAAGTATTCATCTGACTGGGCAGAATGCAGTCATATATCACTCAACTTTTCGTTCACTTCTATACTTCACAGATAGTCTATTGCCAAATTCTCTATGTTTTGAGCTTCTTAGGGTGTTGGAAGCAGGCAATATAGATTTCTCTGAGTTTCCAGTGGAAATATTAAAACTTTCTAATTTAAGGTATATTGCTTTGTCCTACCATGGGAAATTCGTGATTCCTGCCTCAATATCTAAACTTTGCAATCTTCAGACCTTGATTCTTTTTCAACATTCTTATGCTAAAAGATTGTTCTTACCAATGGAACTCTTGAAGATGCCACGGTTAAGGCATCTCTTGTTCGATGAAGCTGTCTTGTTTTGTTCTGATGGTCCAGAAAATGTGAACCTACAAACACTTTCTGGTGTAATTGATTTCAAATTGACTCAGGAGGCCCTTCGAACAATTCCTAACCTGAAGACATTGGGAAGTTCTTACCATTGTGAAACTCAAACTGAGTTGTCATTCTATTGTCTTGAGAATTTAGTCCATCTGCATCAACTTGAAAGTTTTAAGTGCAAAGTCATTTCCAGTGTTTGGCCATATGTTCCTGTGCCTCAGAACCTTGCTTTCCCACCAAATCTAAAGAAGTTAACTTTGAGTGGTTGCAAACTTTCAAGGCATAATATGTTTCTTGTTGGTAACCTTCCCAATCTTGAAGTTTTCAAACTAAAAGAGGTTGCCTTCGAAAACAATGCATGGAAAACTGAAGGGGAATTTTCTCGATTAAAATTCCTGCACGTTGAAGCACGTTATCTTAAAATCTGGGAAGCCGAGGCAGCACATTTCTCATGCCTACAGTGCATATATCTTAGGGGTTGCTCGAATTTAAAATGCATCCCTTCTGGAATTGGAGAAATTCCAACTCTTCAGCAAATCATCTTGTACAGATGTCCGTCATCTGTTGTGAATTCGGCAAATTCAATATTAGAGGAACAACAAGACTGGGGAAACTATGAACTTAAGGTTCATATCGATTCCCTTGATTTTGGAAACATAGCTTTCAGTGGCTACTCCTATCGTAAGGTAAAAGTTTCCCCTGGGCATAAAGTATCTACTAAGCAATTTATTCAACTTTAGTCTTTCAATGCTAAGCTCTCACATGCATACCAAAATATGCTTCATTAAAGGTATGATACGTGCTAATTTTTCATAAATGAGTGATAGCAAAACATGAACTCTATCGTCTATTCCAATACTATATTAGCCTATTAAAGAGGGACTAAGCATATTTCTAAATTTAGAACCCCTTTATTTTATTTTGGCTCACAAGAATCTTTACTGCATTGATATAGCTTGTTTTGTTTACAAGTACTTATCTAGGTGCAAGTTTGACTTTCTAACATATCCAATGGATAAAACCTTAGATTGGGAGAACAAATTTGTGTGCCATTTGTTTCAATTCAGGATCTCCCATTTAGAATCTGAAAGATCGTGTTTCAATTGTATATTGGCTTGCGATTAAAGGAGAAAGGCTTAATTTCGATCAAAGTAGACAAAGGTCATAACCTTTCATTTATTAAATTTGTTCAAGACTTGGGATGATAAAGTCAGTGCGAAAATAATATTTAAATGAATAAATATAGCTATGGGTTTAACTTCAATTACATTTTAGACTTCACTATAATTTACAGCTGACCTAAACATGGGATTTTGGGATGGGTTATACCTTTTTTGGAACCAATTTTATAAACTAATTTATTATTATTATTAGTACTACTATTACTATTACTACTACTACTACTACTACTATTATTATTATTATTTATTTATTTATTTTTGGCATTTTGGGAATGTAGTCCTTTTAAAGCAATTTTTACTTTTCAGTAATTGGTTTGGCATGCACAACACCTACTTAGACTCTTTATTTTATTTTATTTTTTGGCTCAAGCATACGATGAAAAAATGAATTCGACGTGCATGTGAAATGATGTGTGAAAGATGTATACTACTTAAACTTAATCTACCTTATAGTCTTTTTCTCCTTTCCATGATTTTTTGCAGATGACAAAACTTGTGAATAAAACGATCCCAGTGCACATACGTGAGATTATGTAAGTTCTACTGTCAATATATTTCAACATTTTGTAATATAGCATTAGTAGGTTATGTAAGTTCTACTGTCAATATAGATTATGTTTAATTTAAAGTAATGGAGCATTAGTAGATTGTTCTAGAAAAAGGCTAAACATTTTGTTCACTGCATATTATGCCACTCTTCATTTGTCAAAACATGCCAACTTAGCTATTGCAGATATAGTGAGGCGAATGTGCTCAAAATGGGGAAAATTTCATGATACCTAATTTGTCTTAATTGGGCCTTCAAACTATCTGCTCTTAAAATAACCATGATACCTAATCACACTGGTAAATAAATTATTTTATATACAATGTGCTGATAATTTGTACTGCTTTCATTCACCTTTATCACTATTAATAGTGCTTTCCACTCTAGTATTCTCACAAGTGGACATCCTTCCAATACTTTCCGATAATCAGGATTGTGACAGTTATTGAAATGAGATTAAAATATATTGCTTTACAACTAGTTCATATTGACACCATCCCCTAGCTGTCCATATGATGATATGAAGTTACTCTTTGTTGGGCAATGGCTTTCCTTCATTTTAAACTAGCAGTGACTTGCATCAAATTGGACATGTTAAAAGGAACATAGAGAAAACTCAACCTAAGAGAAAACTCTTACTTTGTAACATAGAGAAAACTCAACCTAAGAGAAAACTCTTACTTTACCTAAGAGAAAACTCTTACTTTGTCCATTATATATATTGTGAACTAATATCTGATATAAATTCGATTCCCGAAAAAAAAATGTATAAATGAATAAGTATTATTATTTTCATGACTTTCCACTCACACTACAACATTTTCTTCTTTTTATAACATTTAATCATAACATTCTTATTAGAAATGCTATTAATTAAATATATATTATACTTAAATTAGTATAATAGAAGTTAGCCCAATTTATTTAAACATACAAAATAACATAGCCCACTTTAATTAAACATATTCAACATGACTAATCTAGTAAGCACTTGTGCTTATCTTTTGCTAAGTACTGGTGTGACATGGTATACTATAATAGGTGGTGGAAGATAATGATTGGTCACAAAATTGATTATACCACATATTATAGTGTGTCACATCACCTTGTGCACTGATAGTTATAGGAGATCAATTTCGATATGCAAATTAACTTCCCAACCCATTATTTCACAAACTCACCCCTGCAGATCGTAACCCTTTCTCGGTCTCTCTCGTTTCTCAACAAAATTATTGCCTCATGAAATCTCTTAACCCGCTTGAATCGTGCTTTTGAGGGCTCCTTTTAGTCATTTTTTCTTGACTCCTAAGTCTAGTTTTTTCCCCTTTTTTTGCAGGATTGATGTGTTATGATCCAGACGCGGAGGTCATAGATTGAGCATTTGAGAGTTACATTTAGTACAAAATAAAATGAAACCTGTTTGCAATTTTGTTTAATTGGGAGGTTAATTGAATCTTGTTGAAAATCTTTGTGAGTATTCTTGATGCGGACATCACCCATATATGTTTTGGGCTAGTTTCATATATGTTTAGTTTAGTTTAAGCTTCAATTATTGGGTTTGGCCCAAGCCCATTTACTTTCTAGGTTTGTCGATTTCTCTATTTACATATATTGGTAATGTAATTTCAAAGGAGACAATGATTGATGAATATAAATGAAATGCATGGCTAACAAGTTTTCTCCTGTGTCTTCCTCCCTAAATCTCTTCTCCTTTGGTCTTTTCCCCACATTCTCTCCAGTTCTCCCCCCTTTCTTGCTTCTCTTCTTCTTTGCTGCCTCTTCTTCTTTCCTTCTGTTGTTGTTCTTCTTAGATTGCTTTCTCTTTATCTATAAAATATTTCCATTGATAAATCATATTTTTGTGTCAGAGCTAAAACCTGGATTTTGCTGTTAAAGAAGTCTGAAATTGTAATGAAACCTTCATTAGTTATTATCCCTTTTGATGAGAAGGTTTACTTGTAAGGGAGGCCCATGGAATTGAATCCATCATCTACCAGGAAGAAGTCTATGCACGAAAAACATTTATTAAAAGAAGACTTTATTTTTTAATTAGCTTAGGAAACCATTGTCAGATTACACCATAAAGCAGATACGAAATTGGTTTGCATAAATTTTTTATGCAACCCTATTTTGAGTAAAACGTAGATGTGAACGGGTGGAAACAAAGGAGTAAGCAAGATTAGAGAAATGGATATCCACGGCATCTACTAGAAATTTACTTGCACTTGTTTGATACCTAATTTTTTTTTCCTTTTTTTTTTTTAAATACATTTTTCTCCATCTTCTTTCAATCACATGTTCTTCAATAAAATAATATTACACACAAATTCAAAATTTTATCTTATATTTTAACATTACATTCTCGATCAAAATACTATTTCAAGATACATTATTTCCAAGACATGGGGCTCAAAATTGAATTCAACCAAAAATTTTGAAGTATAATATACCCTACACAAAAATGACACCCTTCTTTCCTCTTACTCTAATTTTATCTCGACGTAAAGAAAGATTATGATGTAAATTAAGATTTATGTTGCATTCTTCTTTCCCCTTGAATATAACTTTTGACGATTAAAGAAATTATGTATATTCTTGATCAATATCAATATTCTCACCTTAGATTGAGAGTCTCATTATCTAGTCAATATTTATTTTATTTCTTTAATCTAAGTCGAATTTTACAAAAAATCAACTTCACTCAAAAACATTATGAAGTTCAGTGACCATTTGAAAGCATTTTAAAGTACAATGAGTAAAACATGATAAAGGTATAAGTTCAGTGACTAATGAAACATGATGAGTAAGTGATGAAGTGCAATGTATTTAAGTTCAATGGCCAATCGAAAACATTTTAAAATTAGTGCTTAAAGCGTGATGAAGGTATAAACTTAGTGATCAATTGGAAACATTTTAGAGTTTGGTGAGTAAGATGTGACATAGGTATAAGTTCAATGAACAATGAAACATTTGACTTGGAAAAGGTCAGGCTAAGTGTGTGGAAAAGGAAAAGAAAGAAAAGTGCGTAAGCAGTGTGTAGAGGGCAAAAGAAAGAAAGAAATAAAGAAAGAAAGAAAGGTAGGGGAAAAAGGAAGAAAAGCACGTGAACGGTGCGCCGCATCAATCAGGTCCGATTTTCTTATTTTGTTAGTTTTTTAAGAATAAAAAAATCAAGGAAGAAAAAATATTTGATGTCCTTTTAGTTCCCATATCATAATTTGCACAAGTTATGACCATGTTTCGATGAATGATTATATTATAGAAATGCATATATTTGGATGGGTTTGTCGAACTTTCCCCTTTGTTGAATTTTGGGGTTTTAGGTTTTAACAATGAATGTAGAATTAGTGGATTTCATGAGGATATTTAGTTAGGAAAAATTACATGAATACAGGTGTTTAAATATTGAATTTCAAAAATAAGGTTCAAAATTCTGGGGTTTTAGGTCTTGCTAGATGCATGTAACAATAAATGTAGAATTAGTGGATTTCATGAGGTTTGATATTTAGTTATTTTTAATTGATAAAATTATGGGACGTTAATTTCGGAAGTGATATATACTATGGGATGAGAGAGAGATATTCAATTAATCTATAAAGAAAATTAGGTCTTGCACGTCCCAAATTATAAAATTTTGACACGTGCCCTCATTTGGAAAGAATGATATACAATTTCTTATAATATTAAACTCTTTGGCGGCAAAAACGAAAAACTTTATATGACCAATTTTAAAAAGGACAAAATAATCGTTTAAGTTTTAACATTTGTAGTGAATGTTCAAAATGTTTAGAAAATGTGCAATGCAATCCCAAATCTTTGATAAGTGTATTGGAAACACTACAAAAAAAAAAAAAAAAAAAAAAAAAAAAAAAAAAAAAAAAC